AAAGTTAAGTGTCGTAGTGTCAATAGAGTCAAGTGTGGTAAAGTCAAATGTCATAAAGTCAAGTGTTCGTAAAGTCAAGTGTACTTGACCCCATGTATTCTCTATGTATTTTCTCTGCGGGTCTCCGCACGGAAGAACCCTTCGCGATGCTTTCGGGAAAACACGGCAAACCCCAAAAGCCCAGAAAAGCATTGAGCGGTCTAGCGACTGCTAACGCCTAGGGCTTCCAGGCACCTTTTGCTGAAGCTTGACCCATGGAGCAACGAGCAGACTGCACGCGCCTTGGATAAAAACTAAGTCGCCATGCGAGATAAGAGCCAGGGAAATCGCTGTGTGGCACAGCCTCGGGTGCTGAAGGCTGCACGCATCCCTCACAGTCCTTGAAAAGTGGGTGGCTGGAAAGGATGTAAGCAGAAAGATAACGATAGCCAGTGGTTAATGTCATCATCCCACGACGACATGCCTCTTCGAATCTCTGAAGGTGTCTTTCATCCGTCGTCGACAGTTGATGTCTGTAGTCCCAAAACATCACAAGCTCATCACCACTTTTGTTGTTTAGAGACTCCTCTTCTGCCTGTTGCCAGTCACGGAGGCAACTGGCAAGAAAGAAAACGAAACAGAAGCCGTAAATTACTAAACCTCAAGCCAACCCCCTTTTCTTATACCCTAAAACTTACGCCCTGAACCATGAATACCCGAGGCAATCCTAAACGACTTCCAATCTGAAGACTCCTTTCGGCCCTGGTGTTGCAGCACTCATTTAGTACTATTGTAATTATGATTTTTTGTGGCTTCTACTGTCAGGAAGTATCGTACCATGACTGTGACTAGTACTGTGAAGACTGCTACTTGCTACGGTTGTTAGTCTTGTTATCCAGAGAAAGGAAGCTGCTCTGGAAAGCTATGTCCGGACAAGGCTCTGCTTCACCATCTGCGCTGTCATGGGCGCCAGCAACCTCGGATTTTTTTCTAGCGAGGTGCCGCTTGGCGGGGCCAGAGGGTCTCAAACTCCTGAAACTACCCTCCCAGAGTCAGGGTGACGTTTCAGGTTCCTAAATCCCCGAAGTAAGCAACGGATGGTGTCGCAGCGCAGGCCCGTACATCTCGCAGTGGAGCTCCATCCTTGCTGACACTCGGAGAAGTCTTCGACTCTTCAGGAGAATTGGGTTCGGGAGCTGAGGATTTCTGGGATTTGGCTCCCTGGAAGCAATAGCAAAAAGAGCATGATCGAGTTTGGGCCTCACCAAGCTGTGCCCAGTTGGGACTTTGTGAACGCAAACACTGTGCTGTTACAGAGCTGCAAGGTAATTGCAAACATTCGGTGTTCGGTCACCGTCAGCGAAGCATGCACTGTGAAGTCCTTGTCGAAAGTCGAAACAGAAACAATCTTGCAAACCCCAAGCCCCTGAACCCCAAATCCCAGGCCCAACGGCACTGAACGTGAAACCTCTGCGGCAACCCAGCATCCGAAGGTTCTCCGACACCAGGTGCAGGAACTCCACCTGTGCGCTGACCGGCTGGGACTGGTAGCGGCATATTTATGGCATACCTCTTCATCCCCAAATCTAAACACAGCACGAAGCCCTTACAGCTCTTGAAAGTGTGAGCATGACCCTGCCCCCAGAACTGGCAGAATCATTCTGCCTATTCCGAACAAGCACCCGCAAAAGCCTTGTTCCCGTGAACCTGTAGCAGATTCTAAAACCCGGGAATGGCCCCGAGTCCCTACAGTCGTCTTCCTGCCTCAGCCTCGGGGACGGCGTGGGACTGGGCCGTAAGGGAGGCTTTCCTTGGTGCAGTGCGGCCGGCACATCGGCTGCAGTTGCGAAGCAGCAGCTTCTTGGGGCAGTGGTTGCACGAGAAGTCTCTTTTTCAAGACGTGCCGTGCTCGACCCCACCTACAACCCGTTCCTGGTCTGAAAGACCTGCTGCTGTGCTTCAGGTTCGAATGGATCCGCGCCGTCAACTGCCTTGAGATTCCGTTGTCCTTACATGGCACGGCTATGTCTCTGCTTGCAACTCGCATTGGCTTTGGGTCCAATTTTGGCAGACTCCCCACGCTGCCTTCGGGAACACGGTACTCGCGACGCATGAAGTCATGAGTGTGGCGAACATTCGGCCAGGCATCAATGAGAAACCACCTCAGCACGCGCTGGTGTCCTGCCTGTATCCCGGTGATGAGATACAACCTGCGACATCTTTCTGCAAGCAGCTTGCGCATGCGATGCTGCTCGAGCTGGACACAGCTGGTGCAGAACGCAACTCGCCTGGTCATGGCCGACGTCATGCTTGATATGAACACCACGGCCAAGATGTAGGCCATTAGCAAGTAGCAGAACGCAAAGATGCGCTCCTGCAAAGGCAAACACACTTCTGCCGGCACTTCCGCGTCACGGAGACAAGGGGATCTCTCGAAGCCGCCCGCCTCCACCGTGACAGGATAAAGCTCCATGGATCCATGGAACTGCGCGAGGGTCCAGTGGAAGGCAATGCTGTACCTCGCCCACGAGCAAAACATAAAAACTCTGTGACTCGGCGAGGAAGTCCCGAGCCGGAAATCCACTGCCGACTCGATGCTGCTGGATGTCTGCGATGCCCGGTTTGTGGTACGAGACCCAGCCGCCCTCCTGAAACGAAAGGGAGGACATGAAACAGAACATGAAGTCTTTCTACTGCAGCGGCTGCTGCTGCTGCCCCTGCATGATGGGTTTCTCTTGAGGGTAAGGTAGTCAGCCGCTTCTGAATGGAACTCCGTATATTGGTCGGAGAGAACGAGTTCACAAAATCCACACGCAACTGCTAGTCGTCGTCGCGCCTGCCGCCCAAGGCTGAGCCAAAGGCAGGCAATGAAATGGAGGAAAACGGCCAGCCACATGATCTTCCCTGCCAGTAAGCAAGGAGATCTTCAGTCGCAAGCATGGGACTTGGGACTGCTTCCAAGACGGAAGATGTTGTCCAGGCAGAGGCTAGCAGTCTCCTCCCTCCCGAAATGCGCAGTGCAAGTGAACAGGAATGTCTGCAGGTTTCCAACTTCGAGAACTGTTCGTGCGTTGCAGTGTACAGGCGCGGCCTTCTGAGCGATTGGGTTACGGTGCAGCTGACAGCCACCACTGGACATGACTCGACCTGAAGAACCTGCGGTGTACATGCATTACCCGGAAGTCCCCTCCAGCCTGAAATGCCGATGCACAGCACCGCTCGTTCGGAACCTCGGGGTGCCAAAGCTAAGGCTGCCGCATTTCATGTCACAGCTGAGCTCCCCCACGAATGTTGTTGGAGAGCTGTATTATCGCCTGGCATCGATTGGGTGTGTGTGCATATATATATATATATATACATATATATGGTTCACGATATGTATATATATATATATATAGACAATTATATTATCTCTCTCTCTCTCTTTCTAAACTTGTGCCCCGCCGCAGCTTCAGACCTGCTCTGGGGGCCTCGATGCGGTAGAGCCGGAAGAGCCGGCAGATCCGCAGGAACTTGAAGCTCCTTGGCCGACAAAGACTGCGCGAAGCCGAATTCGTCGCTGCATCACGGCGCCAAGATTTTAGGGGTTTAGGGTTTAGGGTTTAGGGTTTAGGGTTAAGGGTTTAGGGTGATAAGAAGTGATGTGGGCAAAGTACTGTAGAGCCAAGTCTCTGCGAGAATGTGAAGCGCTCCACCCATGCCAAGGCTGCAAGCACAAAGTCAGGCAAGAAGGAGCCTGAATGCGAGCTCCAGGTGTTGGGTTTCTACAGCACAAGCACAGTATGCAACCGACCCATTTGCACATGCATCTGCAAGCTTGTGTTACAAGCCCTGCCTGCAAAATATCGCCGGAAGGTATACCGCACTCGTGTCTCCCAAGTGCCATCATTACCTCGGAAGCTCGGAGATATCCGAGATCTCATGCGCCTGCATGATATCTAATACCCAATACACGTAGTGCCATAATACATAGAAAGTTGTTATACAGTATGCACTGTACAAAACCCAACATGGGATACAGAATGTAAATCCTAGACATAGAACACAGGTATAGCTGATACCTAGCACCTAACAAGATAATATCGATGTGTGGTATCTCAAGCAATACTATCGGGTGGAAATAACTCTCTAGCATCTAATATCTTATATCTAATGTGCCTGTAAGGCAAAACATCTGACAACTTACATGTACCATATACGACACGCTGCGCACCGCATACCACATAGTACAAAACACCTAATCTTATCATACATACCATAACAGAGTATATAACTTCGCAATAAAAACATGCAGCATAGAACTTACAATGTGTGATAGAAGAACCTACAAGTCAAACAGAAGCTCCCTAAACCCTAAACCCTAAACCCTAAACCCTAAACCTAAACAGCCCGTGTCCGTGCACCAGGATGCGCTCGAAGGTGATGATGCTAGACACGACCAGGTCAACGGTCCAGGCCAGCGTGAGTGGCCATGCCAGCATATCGGACCTTATACCGGGGTTTCCGAAAATAGGAATAGTAGGATCCTTATGAGCAGCAAACTGCAAGCTCTCATACGGGGGTTTCCGAAAATAGGGGAGCCTAATCTAGCATCCAAAATAGTAGGATCCTTATTATAAGGACCCCAAAATAAGGTACCCTCATTTTCGGAAACTCCCATGTAATACAACAGCAGACTGTGTTTACGTGCTTAACACATCTGTGTGCTCTGACCCACCCAATCAATGTATTCTACAAAGTAGAGCAGAAGCATCTGCTGGCAGGCGGCGTGGAAACCTCGATGCCCAACAGCTGCAGCGGCAGCACGATGCCATCATGCAGGACGATACAACAAATCAGCAAGTCCCAGGTGATCTTCTTGGCAGAGAACGGCTTGATGACAAAGATTGCCTGAGCTGGGCTGGATGGTCCCAGCAACAATGCCAACATGGGCACGTTTCCGCAGACTGCTGGTCAGCCAAAGCTGCTCGCCCGTCTTGAAGCTCCTCGGGGAAGTCACTGAAATGCTTGCTCAAAGAAGATCTGGTCACCAGGCGGTGGAACTTCGTCACCTTCAACCCGAAGGAAAGGGAGGAAGTCTAACCCTAACCCCCTCTCTCCCTCCCTCCAGGGCACTCAGGTGCCTGTCAGGCCCCCCGAGCCTCCCCACAACCCTCACGCATTCAACCCATTCACTCCAGGGTTTAGGGTTTAGGGTTTAGGGTTTAGGGCCCGCACCCGTCGAGGCAGCCGGGGAGCCCCAAGCGACGACCCTACAGTGCCAAACAAAACTCCTGGAAGGGGACCTCTGAAAAGGGGTTCTTTAAGGGTTCATCCTCAAGACTTCCTGCATAGGTCTTTCCTTAACCCTCCATTCAAAAAATATATGGGGCTTTTCTCGCTTCGCGCTCGGAAGGCCATGCCTGGAGCATTCGGTCCCGATTTCTTGAGCGCGAGCAACCCCACACTGCAAACGATTTTATCTCTGAAAATTCGAATCGCCGTCAGAGAGCCAAAACCGTAGTCGCACCATAGAAAAAGATCATGGTGTAAGTAACATAGCGATATCACAGCACAAAAAGCCTAAACTCGCAACGGTCGAGACTAGGGTGCAGCGCTAGCAGGGGCGGGCGCGCGCGCGGGCTTTCAGGACCAGCGCGCCGCCTCGAGGCACCTTCCGGCCTTTTTTCCTGAAACCCAGTTCTCCACGCTTCAATGTACAAAACACGGAGCCCACCTTTGCTGAATGCTTCGCAGTTCGATTCCAGCATGAAAGCAGCTCGAACCTGGGCCGGCCGAGCTGCAGCCGCAGCAGAATTAACAAGACTTGCAACGAGAGTAGTACTGATAATGATAACACTGACAGAAGAACCCGAATGATTGCAGTGTTAAAAAAGAAGAAAAGTGAACTGGCATGATGATATTCAACAAGATGGCAGGAAGAATTGAATGAATTACGACACGCATAGCAATTGCGATTCTTTTGAAAGGCTTGTGCAACCACCCCTCGATCTCCCATGTCTTGCCAAAGCCACTCGTAGTCAAAGTCATCCTTGGTTCGCCAGTACCCCTTCATATTAGGAATGGCACCCCTATGGCTCTATGGCTTGGTTTCTGCCATGAAGCCCCAACAGTGAAACCTTACACCCTGATTGTAGAACCCTTCTAAAGTAAACACCATACTACCAAAAAAAGGGCCTGCGAAACTGGGGGACCTAGAAACCCTGCGACACTCTACGCATGCGAAACAGCATCAAAACTTTTTGCTATAAACCCCAGTAGTGGACCCGGAACCCCATAAGCCCTCGCCCGAAATCTTGAAACAAAACAGCAGCACTCCTAAACCAACAAAATACGAAGAGCCCTAAACCCTAAACCCCAAAAAGGGGAACCCTAAACCCTAAACCCAAAAAACGGGAACCCTAAACCCTAAACCCCAAAAAGGGGCCTAGCATCCGTCAGGGGCTCACAGCCCGGCCCTTCCAGGCCAAGGCTTTGCCGCGAGTCCCCTCGGAAGAAAGGCGTGGAGAAGAAGGACGCCACGGAGCCCTGGCAAAGAAAGCCGGTTTGGGGGCTTGATATACGATCCGTTGGAAAAAAGAACACCTTTGGGGGGGCTTGATATAGAAGGGTTGGGGTTAGGCTGGAGGTTTTCGCTGGGGATTTTGGGCCTTAGGGGTTGAAGCCACTGCGGAGTCCTGGCGAAGAGAGCCTTTTTGGGGATTGCGTGGGTCTCAGTTTTAGGTTTTAAGGGCTTACGCTCTCGCAACTCAGGTTTCGGGGAATTATGCGAGCTGGGCTCAATTGAAGGCTCCAGGTCCCTTCGACGTGACTTCGCTAGCCCTGCTCGGGACACCCAGCACTTCAAACTTAGCCCCTGTCGAACAGTTCATTTTCGAAGCTGAGCTTTATCTAGATTTGGGGTTCGTGGGCATTGCGCCCGTTTGGTAAGGGAAGGCAGACAGAAGAGACCAGCAACCAACTCGACAAGCTGTATGCAAGAGGACAGCTCCTCCCTCGACCTACGTTGCAACTTCAGCGCTTCCTGGAAGCTCTCGATTGCATGGCACTCCTTGTGGCTCTGCAGCCGAGGTGCAGCAGCATCTGAGTTGCGGCGCGCCCGGCCAACTGGAAATCTCACGTGGTGCGGGAGGGTTGGCGCCTCCTGCTTCGTGCGAAATGACATTGAAAAGGATCCACGGCGACCCTCCACATCCAAAGCCCACATGGGACCAAGGGTATCAGCTGGTGGGAAGTTTAGAATCTTCAAGAGCAGTGGAGCCTGGTACCCGGACCGAGGCTGGGAATGGACCCTCAACATCCCTCAACCCCCTAAACCCTAAACCCTCAACCCCAAAGCCCCAAAGCCCCTGCTCAAGCTCCTCAGGGTCCGGCGCCTCCTTGGAGGTGGTGGCTGGCCCCACTTCCGCAGGAGCCTCCTTCCAGCTCAGTGTGTCCAAGCTTTGGACTCTGGAGTCCCAGCTTTATGTTTTGGCATCGTTTCAGGGATTCGGGAGAAACATGCACTGGGACCGCGGTCACTGTTCGAAAAGAGGCGCGCTCAAACAAAAAAGGATTCGGGATATTTCAGGTTTAAGTTTAAGGCGAGTGCTCAGGAGTTTGGCTCTGCCCAAAAAACCAGCCTGCAAAAGGCATGCTCAGTTGTGGGTTTCAGCGCTGTGGGTATAAAAACCTCGTGTCGCACTCCCAGCTTCCAAGGTGCTTACGCAGCCTTCATACAAATGGTACTAGTGGTACGAATAGCTACAAGGAGTAGTAGTCTTTACGATACTAGTCGTACTACGAGTAGCAGTAGTCGAAGTAGTTGTAGGTAATAGTAGTAGTGGTAGTCGTGGTCGTCGTAGTCGTATTCGTAGTCGTAGTCGTAGTCGTAGTCGTACTCGTAGTCGTCGTCGTCGTCGTCGTCGTCGCAGTCGCAGTCGCGGTCGCAGTCGCAGTCGCAGTCGCAGTCGCAGTCGCAGTTGCAATCGCAGTCGCAGTCGCAGTCGCAGTCGCAGTCGCAGTCGCAGTCGCAGTCGCAGTAGCAGTAGCAGTACGAGT